TGAACCAGGTTAAAGTGAACCAGGTTTAACTGAACCAGGTCAAAGTGACTCGTGTTAATCTCCGGGTGAACCGACCTTGTTGACGCTGGTTTTCTGTGGGGTTTCTGGGACTTTGATTTCCAGAGGAGTGAACTAAAACAGAAAAATAAAAAACTGTTTCTGATGCTGAAGGGGACTTCCCACATTACCCACAATGCCTTGTGACAGCCACAGCAGAAGAGGTGTGAACGCGCTGCTTTAGACAACGTGAATGGTTTAATAAAGGTTTGATTAAAACTGTTAGACTTGTGTTACCACATTCTCATCTTCATCGTCGTCATGACAAGTCCCTGCTGCGTCGTCCTCCTGAGTCTCGGCCGACTGTTTGTTACGTCTGTGTTTGAAACGCATGAGAAAAGCTTTGTTAGGAAAATCATGGAATCGTGGAACATCGGTTATTTGATCAGACTCTTACTTCTTGTTCCTGTCGTTGATGTACTCCAGAGTTTGATAGACGAGGCTGTGCAGCAGCTCCACCTGAAACACAGACAGTTTTAATCAGACGGCTCAGACTCGTCACTCGGACGTTCTGGCTCCTGTGGTCGAACCTTCTTGCTGTAGATGCAGGTGGAGCCCTGGATGAGCAGCGCAGCTTCTGCAAAGTTCAGCCGAAATTTTCCTCCATCGAACGTGATGCACATTTCATCCAACTACAGAAACAGACAGAGAAAAGAAATCTTCTGAATGATTCACCAGAGCCAACTGAAAATGTATTTTCTTTAAATGTTATTGTAAGAATATAGAGACTTATCACAACACCAAACTCTTTTGAATTTCATATACCAGTGATTCTCGGACGTTTCCTCTCAGAACCCGGACACACCACCTCTTACCTCCTCTAAATAGTCGTTCAGCTCCGACGCCACGTCGACATCCCAGTTCTTGGTGAGTTCTCTAATCGGCTGCAGCAGGTGAGCGAATCTGCTCTCTGTGGACTCCATCACGTCCGTCCTGTCACAGACCAGTCAAACTGCAGGTTTGTGAGGAAACTGCTGTGGGAAGCAAAAACAATAAAGTCTCTTGATAAATAGGGTCTTTTCTATTTTTCTATTTAAACACGGACGAGGGTCAGAAAAACAGTAAAGATGAAACTAATTTAATTTACACATTTCTGATGAGTGAAACACAAACAGGTTCAATTAACTGGACTGAACGAAATGACACGTTGTAAATATGCTTCAATCAAAGTAGTAAATAAAACTTCCCGGCAGATGAATCACATTATATTGTAGTAAAACTTAAGGTACACAGTAAAGGGTACTTCCTTTGAGTATGAAAGTGATATGTACCTACAGTAAATGTATTTCGTAACTCCACCGGTGGATTTAAAATGATGGAAGAAATGTGTGAAGACATTTAGAACCAGAGTCCATTTCAAACTTCGACCATTTAACGTGACCAACGTCACGTGGCCACTGAACAGATTAGACAAGTTTAATAATCTAAAAGTACAACAACTGTTCATGATGACTTTATTATGAGTTATTATATTAAATTATTTTATTTAACCCTCCGATTGTTTCTCACGAGTTCTTCTCTGTGAACCAACCTGACATCGGTGTGACACCGCTTCCTCACGTATCGAGTCTCACACCGAACACAACTCGGTCAAATTAACGATTCATTCACCGGTTCATCGTTTCTTCTGTTTGTTTCAAAGTGACGTCAAACTGAAGGAGAACCGACAGATGACCGACTTTTAACGTGAGTCTGGTTCAACGTTTCCTCCTTCGATCAGAAACAGAGTTTAACGTTTAGTTAAATTAACATTGAGTTAATTTAACATTTAGATAAATTAACATTTAGTTCATTCAACTGTTTCGTCCTCGCTGAAAACGTTTGAGTGACGTGAACGTTTAAAATCACAGTAAATAAACTCACCAGAGTCGGAGCAGCTAAGTGTTGTTAGCAGTTAGCATTAGCATTAACTGACGGTCAAACTACCGCCAAACTCTTCTTCTACTGTTTCACCATGTGACCGCTCTGACTGCTGCCCCCTGTCGGCCCCAGAGTACTATTACTATAAAGTATTCTA